AAGTCAGTGACTCAGAGTCTTAACTAAACATTCCAGGGAACAGGAAAACATCCAGTGATGAGTGACTCTTATTTATGCCTTTTAAGCACGGTGTTACCAGGAACTGGTGGGAAAGAACTGCTGAGGGCAAAGCTTTGAAAAGCACGTCATCCTCCTCAGTTACCCAAAACTTTAACAACAGAAAGAACACACACAATAATAAAGAAAGGTATATATATACACACAGAATCTCACCCACAAATAACCTCCAAGCCTGAGCTACCCACTCTAGAATGTGAGCCAGGAACTAATCTCCTGACACAAACTAACACAAACCTGAGAGGCACTCAGTAGCAGTAAGGAAATTTAGGGCAAAAGAGGTCATTTCTAGGTGGAAAAAAACCCCAAAACAAAACATCCAAACCACAACAGACCTTGCCTGGAAAAAGGCAGGGGGAAAAAGAGACAGACACTAACCTGAAGGTGACTTCTGGCACGAGGCATTTGACCCCGTTATGGAAGGGCCGTGTCAGGGAAATGGTCTGGCTGACCTGATCCACAGCCGACACTCTTCCTTGGTAGACTCCCAAGCTTTCTCCACAGTTAATTGACACAATGCTCCCAAGCCAGTCTGTAGCCATATTTCTGGCACACAGCTGCTGTAAAGAGACACAGACCAGCCTGTAAGAAGAGGCAGAAAAGTGACAACCTGAACTAGCATCAGCCGCATCCCCCAGCCCGTAACCCCGGCTCCCACCCAGACTCTGGCTCTGCCAGCTTTTCCTGCCTTTGCAGGGAGGAAACAGCATCCCTATGGACACCAACGATCCCAGGGAGAGGGAAGATGCCTGGAGGGGCTTTCTGAGGATAACACAGATGTCTGACTAACTGATTTCAGGATTTACAGATTCCAAGAGTATTTAGTCTTGCCTGTGGACATTCTCCCTGTGAGTTCAAAAAGGGAATTTATCTTCACTTCCCTGTTTAAAATTTTGGCATATGAACACCGGGGCAGAACACCTTCTGTGAACAATCACAGTGAGATAATTGATCTCTGCACGTGCAAGTGAAAACCAAAACCTTTGAGGGAACAGAGAGACACAGAAGGAGGGAAAATCCCAAACACTGGAGTCCAGGACAAAAGTCTCCACGCTCTGCAGAGCCTGGATTATTAGTGTCACTGCCACAATTAAATAAATGAGAGGGGGGAAAAAAAAAAAAAAGTTGCTCTGCTTTCCAGCACCAGAATCAGGGACAAAAACATCAAATTTGTTTAGTCAGATGTGCAGCCCCAACACACCTGAGAGCAGCTAAATACATCCTTTGATCTGAGATTTCCTTAGAACACAGGGAGGTGACAGGCTCACTATCATCACCAGAGAGCAAGAGAGATGACAAGCTCCTAAATGTATAGATTTGCCTTTCATGCTGTAATCAAAGAGGGAGAATATGTTTGATATTTACCCTAAGAAACACGGCAGATAACCCACGGAGATCAACATCAACATACAAATCACATTCCTGGGAGAGGCATTTGAATTCTCTTCAAGCCTTTCCTGTGCTGAGCTTCTTGGAAAAAGATGCAAGGAAAACAAAAATCCCTGGATGCATAAAAAAATTGGACTTCTCCCAGCTTTCATAGGACTGAAAACAGGGGATGCTTCAAAGGGCAGAAAACACTGAATTTGGTCACTAAGTCATAAATTCATCAGGACCAGCCTCCTTTCCTTCCTGTTCTGTGTATTTATATTAACCCATGATGACAATGTCTGCATCCCAAGGTGATGGCTGATAAAAAGCACTCTCAAAACAGATAACACATCCCTGAGAACCTGTAGCAAAACTAAAATTTCATTTCCTCTCCTGTTTTGTTGTTTTTTTTTTTTAATGTCCCTTAGGAAATAAGGGAAAAGAGTTCAGCACACGTCATCACCTTACACAGATCCTTTCTAAAAATAAGACCCTCTTTTTAGCAAAAAAAAAAAAAAAATCTATGTTTGAGTGCAAATATAAACTAAACTATTCCAGGGCTGGATGGGGGTGGGCTGCCCTGATTCCCATAGGAAAACACAGAGTTCCCCATAGGTAAACACAGGGACACCCTCCACAGGTAAACAAAGGGTTCCCCACAGGTAAACACAAGGGCCCCCCCGAAAGTAAACACGAGCCCTCCCCCCCACAGGCTAAGACGGGGCCCCCCACAGACAAGCAGAGGGGCCCCCACAGCTGAGCACAGGCGCCCTGCAGGCCTCCCGCCCCCTTGGCTGCCCCGGCCCAGCCTCCCCACCACGGCCCGAGCAGGCCGGCCAGGCCCTGGCACCCCAGCCGCGCCTCACGAGGCCCAGCCCTCTCGGAAGGTCCCGTCCCAACCCAGCCCGCCCCCGCCGAACCCCCTGGCGTGCCGGGCCGAGGTGTCCGTCCCGCTGCCGCCCCCCGTTCCCCCTCACCCTCCGTCGCCGCTCCCGCCTCACAGCGGCCCCTCCGCCTCGGCGACGCTCGGCCTGACGCCACTTCCGGCACCGCCCCGCTCGCGCGGCGCTCCGGCCGCCGGCGGGACCATAGAGAGGAGCGGGGCCGCCGCGCCGGGCGCATGCGCAGTGCCCGCGCTCCCGTGGCGCGGGCGAGCTCTCCTGAGCCCTTTGCCACCTCTGTCCCCTCTGTCACCTCTGCCACACACCCGCCGTCTCCGTCCCGCCTCCCCATGCCCCGCTGACACCGTGGTCACGCATCCCCCCGCCCCTCCATGGCTGTCGGCATGTCCCCACCACCTCCATCGCACCTCCGTCGCCTCTGTGAGCTCTGTCACCGCTCCATCGCAGCTGTCGCATGTCCGCTGTCCCACCCTCATCACGCCCTTCACATATGTATTCCTGCTGCTGCTGCATGTCCTCTGTCGTGTCTCCATCACTGCTGCCAAATGTTTTCCATCCCCTCCATCAGACCTCCATCCCCTCTGTCACTTTTCCATCCCCTCCATCACACCTCCATCCCCTCTGTCACTTTTCCATCCCCTCCATCACACTTCCATCCCCTCTGTCCCCTTTCCATCCCCTCCATCACACTTCCATCCCCTCTGTCACCTTTCCATCCCCTCCATCACACCTCCATCCCCTCTGTCACTTTTCCATCCCCTTCTTCACACTTCCATCCCCTCTGTCCCCTTTCCATCCCCTCCATCACACCTCCATCCCCTCTGTCACCTTTCCATCCCCTCCATTCCCTCTATCACCTCCGTCATCTCCATCCCCTTCATCCCCTCCCTCACACCTGAATCACCTCTGCCACACCTCCATTCCACCTCCATCATCTTCGTCCCCTCCACCCCTTCCATCACACCTCCATTCCCTCCATCCCCTCCCTCTGGCTCACCAGCAGAGACACAGACACATCATCTCCCACTCTCTCCTCGGCTCCATTAGCACCAGCTTTCCCCGCTCCACAGCTGGAGGCTGTTTTGCTCATTACTGGGAGGAAGGAGCGGGTGGAGTGCTGGATCCGTGTGCCGATGGCTAAACACAGGCTGGGCCGGGGACACTAATTAAGAACAAAATCATTCTGACAGCAGCCAGTAACAATAACACGGAGGTGAGCGAGATCACAGGAGGAAGGCTCCTCTGCTACAGAGCAGCTTTCCATACCACAACACCAAAATTAAAAATAATTCTGTGGTCCAACAAGGCTGGAAACCCCAGAGGGCTGATCCCTGCAGGGATGCCACTTCAGGGATGCACAGACTCCAATTTTCCACGTACTCATTATTTGCATGGGAATTTAGTGTTTATTACCTTTTTTGTTTGTTTTAAGGGAAATTATGCAAAGCTTCAGATTTAATTGTGCTCTGAGATGGGGACAAGCAGAGCAGGTGATGGCATGAAACATCCCTCCATGGATTGCTCCCTGAAAGGCTGGTTCTGACCTATTGATTCCATTTTTTTCGGGGCTAGAAAGGCTAGTCTTGATTTTTAGTGAAGTCCTGAACTGATCCAGAGCTTGGCATCACCTCTCTGAAAATCCCAGGTGAGACTTTAGACAGCAGGAGGACCAGAGTCGGCTCCCATGGGGACTAAAAACTTCCCCCAATGCCACTGGTGTCCAGCCCACTCATGTCCCATAGGAAAAAAACCTGATGCAAAACATCTAGTCAGATTTTTAAGGATGACAGAGAGGTGTGGGGTGTTTTTTTGCCCTAAAAATCATTTCCCAGTGGAATAAGACCAGCAAGAAACTTAAGAAACTTTCAGATAAGCATTTATTGGGTTAGAAATATTGTGTGGTTTCTATCACAGCACACAGCTGCATTCCATACAAGTACAAACAAGCAAGAATCGCTGCTCTGTTTGCCATAAGGCTTCACCTTCCCACTGGCTAAAGCGGAATGCAGCATAAGGCACCTTCTGCAGTCCTCAAATCCTTGTTCCTTTAATTAGTCTGGATATAGAAATCTATTGCTTGATAAGAAAAAAACCCTATTAATTAAAAAAAGCAGCAAATACAGAGTTAGTCTGAAAGCCAGAAGTGTCCTACTGTTCCTCTGTCCTTCCTGTCCCTTTTTCCCAGTCCCTTGATATTTTCCAGGCTTTGTGTTAGGAGTTCAGTTAATATCTCAATTTATGAGCAGCATTGCTTATGGACATATTTATTTTTCCTAGTAGTCTGCCACCAAGGATTGGTAGAAACACTCAGGAATTCACTCCATGAGTTAACATTCAAGGAATTTAGGTGGGTGGGTGCACACAGGACAGGTCCTCTTCAAATGGGTTCTGGTGCAGCCTTGAGAGCCCTTCAGAAGGCACCTGGAGCAGCGGGAAGCACCCGTTCCCATTGGCACAGAGAGCTGAAGGCTTTGGAAAACAGGCTTTCCCCCTGTGAGATAAGGCTGGTCAGGTTTCTCTGAGGTTTATTTATATTTGGATGAAGGGAGTTGTCCATCGCAGCTCCAGCTCAGGGCAGAGGACACCCCACCAACATCCCACCCTGCTTCTCCCACCCCCCAAGCATCCTCCTCCCCACCACAGGGCTGCAATCCCCCTGGATCTCTCCAAGAGGCATGAGTGCTGGACCTCTGGTGAACATCCATGCGGGAAAGGGTGATGGAGCTGGCTCCAGGCGCTACGAAGAGCCCGACAAAGCCGGCTTTGTCCCACCCTGCTCCCATCCCCATGAGAGGAACAAGCCTCCAGCGAAGCAACACAAGGGGCTGTGCCTTAGCAAAAGCAGGCTGTCTGACGCTGAGGGCTGGCTTTCCTTCTTCTGGTGGCTTATGGAGAGCTTTTCATGGGAAAACGCTGCTTGATCTGGAAGCATTCGCACTTCTTGTACTTCATGGTCAGTCCGTACTGAGGGGTGATGTCCACCTCCTCCCCGGGGCGGAGGCTGAACTCCAGCTGCTGCAGCAGGGTGGTCAGGAAGAGGAAGATCTCCCAGCGGCCGATGGTCTCCCCAATGCATCGCCTCTTCCCCAGGCCAAAAGACAACACCTTTTCACTCTCTGCCCTGTTTATCTCCGTCCCCGCAGGGTTGAGGAACCGCTCAGGGTTGAAGGCTGAGGGTTCCTTCCAAAGGTTCCTGGGGCAGAAAAGAGACACACTTGAGGATACTGTTTTATCATAGAATCACAGAATGGTTTGGGAACCTAAAAGCTCATCTTGTTCCACCCCCTGCCACAGGCAGGGACACCTTCCACTAGCCCAGGTTGCTCCAAGCCCCGTCCAACATGGCCCTGAACACTTCCAGGGATGGGCCAGCCACAGCTTCTCTGGGCAACCTGTACCAGGGCCTCACCACCCTCACAGAGAAGACCTTCTTCCCAGTATCCCATCTAACCCTGCCCTCTGGCAGTGGGAAGCCATTCCCCTTTGTCCTGTCCCTCCAGGCCCTTGTCCAAAGTCTCTCTCCAGCTTTCTTGGAGGCCCTTTAGGCACTGGAAGGGGCTCTAAGATCTCCCCAGAGCCTTCTCTTCTCCAAGCTGAACACCCCCAGCTCTCCCAGCCTGGCTCCAGAGCAGAGGGGCTCCAGCCCTTGGGGCATCATGAAAGTTTTCACCCACTGTGATGGGGTCAGTGATCAAAAAAATCTCCTTGCAGAGAGAAGCTTTGCAGTGCTGTCTCATTTCACCATCCAAAAAACCTTTGGCAAGCTCTATTCCTGATCTAAAATGCCAACTCTGTGTCAGACTCCATCAGCTCAGTCTATTGAAACCTCTGTTCCAAGCTCAGATTATGTTTGCCTGTGCAGATAGTGGAGATGGATTTAATTCTGCATGCAACCACCAGAGATTCTGCAGTTTCAGCACAGAAATCAGTCAGCAGCCCTTGAAAAAGGAAGGATGGAGACCAGAGGGTTTTCTCTCTTTGAATCCTCCCAGCAAAACTTCCCGATCTGTCCCAGCTTGGCTGCTGGGAGGTGCCAGGTGGGATTTAACAGCGTCTTAGCTGAGGATTTCTGTTTGGATATGGGGAATCCTCTCTGCACTAAAGACAGCATTCCCGTTTCATGCTCACCAGAGCAGCAGGAGCAGAAGGAATACTGGAAGGTTTCTGTGCTGCTGGGGTATTTGGATACAAATATCTTGAGCTTCTGATCCAAAATACCTGGTCTGTGAACCACCTTCTGTATCACGCCTTAATCAGCTTACTCCCACCAGGAGGAACTCTACTGGGGAGCAGTGGAGAGAGAAGGTGGGACTTTGGTTTCCAGACCCCTTTCATTCCCAAAACTGGTTATCAGCAATGGCAACACGAGCCTATCGAGTTTACTGAGAGTCACGTCACGACATTCTTCTCCCTTAAAGAGGGAATCAGGCCATTCCTATTGAGCCATCAACCCAGATCACAAGATCTGCTTGGCAGGAGGATCTACTGATTCCTGATTATCCAGTAGCCTGAGCTTCTAGCCCTCACCCTGTGCATCGAGGGCATCACCACATAAATTGGGTAAGCCCTGGAGTTGGGGAGCTGCGGAACCTGGACCAGCACCACGCCCAGGAGAACCAAGGCTGGGCTCAGCATCAAATCCACATGATTTTTGGTTCAATCTGCCTTTTCCTTCATGATCCATTCATCTTTTGGTACAAGGATTAGAGTGATCTTAACACCAAGCAAGCCCATGGCAGCCCAGATAAACACAGGGGGTTTGGAATACTCACTCATCATGATTCACTTGCCACTGGTTGATAAACACACAGGTGTTCTTTGGGATGTAGTATCCGTTCAGCACCGTCGCTTTTGTTGTGCTGAAGGAAACACGGGTGGGAAGATAAGTTAGAGGAGACCCACAGCTTCATGACAAATCAAAGCCTAGCAAGTCCTTCAATACTCTATTTTTGCTCTTAGGATTGGCTAGAAAATACCACAGATTGTATTTGGGTGATTCAATAGTCTTGGTCATACTCTCCTCAAGCAGAAAAATTCCAGTTTCATTTCACAACTCATGCCACATGGGTTGGGATGTGTTCTCTCCCAAGGTAGGAGGGAATTATAAAGCCAGGGGTGTCCACCATCCCTCTGCTAGCAAAGATTTTGGAGTGAAACTACCCTCAAAGCAAAGGATTCAACCCCAGAACGGCAGCAAGCGGGAATATTTCCCCCTAGCAGGAATCAATTCCCAGGCAATTTTCTGCCTAAATGGAACCTCCAAAAAAAAAAACCCCAAAAAAGGTGTCAGCCACTCCAGACCATACCTGTGTGGGATGGTGAAGGGCAGGAAGGAGGAGTGCCTGAACATCTCCAGGATAAAGGCCTCTGTGTAGGGCAGCGTGCCCCGGTCCGACAGCCGCGGTCTCCTCTCCCGGCCGATGGTCTGGTCTGTGGGAGGTGGAGTAGAGGAAGAGGTTTAGGGTCAGTGCTGACCAGAGAGGTTTTGGACCCAGAGGAAGGTGGTTAGTGGACTCACCTAGTTCTTCCTGGATCTTCTTCTGGATGTTGGGGTACAAGGCAACATACATGAGGCTCCAGGATAAGGCAGTGGACACAGTGTCAAAGCCTGGATGGACATGGAAAAGGCATTTAGTTATCAGAAGAGGACACATAAGTGGGAGTTACAGATCCCACCACTCCAGATGTTTGCCATAGAGTGATTTCCCCATCAGCTGTCACTGAAAAGCTCTGGCCACTGCTAAGGGATGCACCCAAGAGATCAACAGCAGCTCCACACACCCAAACGTGACCAAGGTCTCACCCCAACAGCTTCACCTCCAGCTTCTGCCTTCAGCACCATGGCTTTACTCTCAGAAACATTCTCACCTGCCCCAAATAGGTCGTTGACAATGTGGATTATCTTCTCATTGGAGAGCTGAACGTGGGTATCCTCCCCAACACTCTTCTCCTGGCAGTGCTCAATCAGCGAGTCCGTGATGTCCCGGATGTGCTCCTGGGGAAGAGCTGGTGGGTCAGGAACATCACAGACACACAGGGATGGGGAAACATCCCCCAACTAGTGCTGGCTCCCAGAGAGCAGATGAGAGTGCTCCAAGGAGCTTTCCTGGGCAAGGTGGGAGGACGAGGGTGTACCCTCTTCCCCACCTTGCCAGGCAGCATCTCTGGCAGTTGTAAGCATCTCCACCCACATCAAAGGGCACCCAAGCTCTTACCTTATCAAAGCTGGTGTAATGCTCCTGCACAATTTTTTGCACAAAGATGTTGAATCGCCTGTTGATGTCCTTAAAGAGCTCCATGGTGCGGCTGGGAAGGTACCGGAGCAGGGGGATGAAGTCAGCAGGGTGGCCAGCACCAGCCACATCCCCAAATTCATTGCCTAGGTTCACCACGCTGAGCAGCTCCTGGTCATTGTGATCGTAGCGCTTGCCAAAGCACATGGCACAGATGACATTGGCCACCGAGACCACCAGGTACTGGTTAAGGTCAAAGCTCTTCTCCTCCTTCATCAGCTGCAGGAACTTGGTGACCAGGTACTCAGCCTCCTTGGAGACGTGCTCCTCCAGCAGGCAGGTGGAGGAGGACGTGGGGCTGGGGGCAATGGAGAAGGTCTTCAGGGCATTCTGGGCCAGCTTCCTGCGGGCTTTCCACACCTCCCCAGAGTCGGGGCTGAAGGCCAGGCTCTGCCCATTCGAAATGTACTGGAAGCTCTGGAGGTCAGGGCGCCCCAGGAAGTCCTCTCCTTGCTTCACCAGGGCTTGCTTGATGGTCTCCAGCCCACTCAGCACCAGCACGGGCCGCATGCCAATCCTCACCTCCATCACATCCCCGTACTTCTGGCTCAGCTTGGTCAGGGCCAGGTGCGTGTCCTTCCGCAGCTCCAGCACATTCCCAAGGATGGGATAGCCCCTGGGTCCCGGTGGGCTCTTCAGCCCCTTGGGTATGTGCTGCTGAAGGGATTGCAGGAGCAGGAAGACCAGGCAGAAGACAGCAGCCACAAGGAGCACCTCAGTGGCTGAGATGGCACCTTGGCTCCCCACCAGCAACATCGCAGCCTTTGTCATTGCTGCCAGCAGGTAGAAACCCTAAAGAAGTGAACCAGAGTGTGGGCAAGGGCTGGCATCAGGAAAGAGCTGAGTTCTGTGGGTGTTCCTGATGCTGAGACAGGGCACCGAGAGCCCTGAAACAGCTCAGGGCGATGGACCTGCCCGTGCAGCACTGGGGGTTTCAAGAGGCAGAAGTTGGAGACCTGTAAAGACTCCAAACTCAGTCACCCATCTCTAAAAGGGGGACCTCAGCCCATCAGAACCTTCAGTGACACCCCTTCCCCCAGAGAAGACCTTTAGACTGGCATGCAGAATCTTTAGTAATAAACCAAAGAGGGGCAGGTCCATGGAGCACCTCCAGGTTCAGGCACATTTAGCAGTGCCTGCGCAGGACTGTGGGCAGGAGAGGTGGGCTTCACTTCTGATCCACAGGTGCTGCAATTTTCTGCCCTTTAGGAAACCCCTTGCACTAAAAAGCAGGTTTTTTGTTAGCCAGGAGTGGGAGGAATAGGTGCACAGCTTTTTCCTCTTCGTGCCAGGGAAGTAAAGGTGCTCTCTTAATCACAGGACCTCTCTTTTCTCCTGCAAAGTGTTTTACAGACCGCTTGACTAGAGGAGAGATGATCCTGATTTGAGTCATCCTAGCCTCTGCTTGCCAGCAAACTAATCACAGCATTGCCAGGAACCATCCCGAAGTCTGATGGCCACAAAAGATCACCACGGCTGTAGCCGGGGGCGGGGGGCGGCAGGATGAGTGTACCCTGCTCCCAGCTCTGTTGGAAATGATGGAATCATAGAATATCTCAAGTTGAAAGGGACCCATAAGGATCGTCGAGTCCAACACCGAGGTCCTCGCAGGACTAAATCCTTCAGAAAACCCCGAGCAGGTGTGGGAAGAGGCTGAGTGTAAAATCCCACCTCCCCTAGGGTTTGGCACCCCACGGGACACCAGTGGAGTGATGATTCTGGGGGGCTGTTGGGGCCCCTGCACTGCAGTGGGTGCAGCCTAACTGAGACCCCCCTCCCAGCCCACGGCAGCGGAAAGACCCGTGAGAGGAGAATTACTTCCAGGACCCTCAAGAAACCACCTACGGATAGGTGGGGGAAGGATGCTGCGGGAGATTTGGGGAGTCGGAAAGTGGGGACAGCCCACGTCGGGGCTGTCCATCACGTGGGGGTGCCTTGGGGAAGCTGGAGGAGGCCCCCCGACACCTCTCCATCGTTAGTCAGGGCTCTCCGGGTACTCACCTCGGTGCGGAGCGGGGCGGCGAAGGGGCCCGATCCCGCGGCAGGTGCCCGCTCCCTCCGGCTCCTGCTTTATATGCATCGCCCCAAGCTCTGATTGGTCCGGCCGCCTCCCGTCACGTGACCCCCAACTCCCCAAGAACTCCCCGGACCCCCCCACTGCCCCCTGTCCCTCCCCGGGGGTTTCCCCCACGCGTGGGATGCGGGATCCCCGCTCCTCCTTGCATCCCTGGAGGGGAGGCTGGGAGGTCGGCGCGGGGAGGAGCAGGGAGGGAGGAAGGGTCCCAACGGGTCGTGGCGTGGGGGTGGGGGGTGGAGGGGTGTCGGTGCCGCCCGTGGGTTCCAACCCGGGGCGGGCATCGCGTGCGAAGCGGGCGGGATGTTTGGGCAAACCCGCACCGCCCCGGTCACTCCAGTCACGCTACCGGCAGGATCTTAAAGGCGCCGGTCCCGCGCCCCGCGGCTCCCCACGACCCCGCCGGGGGACGCCCCGGCTCCCCTCGTCCCCCAGGACCCGCAGGGTTCCATACACACGCACTCACGCCCCCTGCCTCGGTGCCCGCAGCCCCGGGGCAGCCCCGGGGTATCCCCGGTGTCCGGAGCCGTGGGGAGAGCGGGAGCGTGGGAAAACCGCCCCGGAACGCGAGGTGCGGGGCAGGAGCGGGTGGGATTGGGGTATTCACCCCTCCACGGGGCTCCGCGAACACGGAGGGATGAGCGTAGACCCCTCGCCGCGGGGCTTAAGTGATCACACCCCTCCGCGGGGGCTTTGCTCATCCCGCCGCCGGTGTTCCCAGTAAAGCAGAAGCGGGGGTTACCGGCTCCGTGCGTCTCCCCCCACCCCACGCTGCGGGACCTCTCCACAGCCCCATCGGGTCCACGCACGGAAGAGGCGGCGATGCCGCCCCGGGGGTCACGGCCCCGACTGCCCCGGCCCGGTTAAAGATTGTCCAGGTTCGCGTGAGAAGCCGCCGTGCCCTTTGTCACCTCTGTCCCCTGCTGGCAGAGCGACCCAGGGGGCAAGGTGGGGCTGGGATGGGGCAGAGGGTGCAGCCGGAGGGAGGGGAGTCACGTCGCGGGGGATGCTCGGGGGTCCAAAGGGGGTCTCAGGCAGAGGTTGCAGCCTCCATCCCCGGGAGCGACAGGCCAGGATCTGCCCTTCAGGGTGGACAAGAGGGACCAGCCCGCAACCTAAATCTCCCCCCCCTCCTCCCACATCCTTGTTCCCAGCCCAGCTGCAACGAGATGGGAGATATGCGAGGGGTGTCCCACCCTGCCGGGGGGTCCCAGAGGTGGCGTTAGGGACATCGCGTGCGAAGGGGCTCTGGCCAGACCCGGGAGGGCTGCCCTGGTCACTCGCAGTCACGCTACGGGTGGGTGGGGGGGAAATGGCTTTTAAAGGACCAGGGCGGTGGCCCCACGTCCAGCAGCCTGGCCCGGGGTCAGGGTGGCGCCAGAGGAGCTCAGAATCAGCTCAGGATCAGCTCAGGATCAGCTCCCCCCCGGCTGTCTGGGTGTTGGGGGGGTAGAGGGTCCCCAGCACTGGGTACATCATCGGGGTCAGCAGGGGTGCATCCCTGCGTCACCTGCAAGGGGACAGCAGCCCCCTTGTCACTTGTGTCCCTCTCAAACAGCCGCAGTCATCCCAGCCCTTTCCAGCCATAAGGGGTGGGATAGAGAGTGTTTTCCCACCCTGCAAAGAGGAGAGGTTTTAGTTGTGCCACTAAAATGTCCCCTTCTGGGACAGTCAGGGGACACTGAACAGTGCTCTGACCCCCAGGAGCACACTGTGGGGCATGACCACAACTGTTCCCATGGCTCGGGACACTCATAAACCCCAGGTGGGGACGTCTCCAGCACTGCGGCGCCTCATCCAACATGCGGGGGCACCCTCACCCATGGCTCCTGGCTGTACCCACGTCCTTCCCATGCAGGTGTGAGTGTCCACCCCATGTACCTGTGCACCTGTGCAGGTGTGTCTCTGCGCAGACAGACCGCACACAAACCTTGCACACACAGAGCCGGCGCGCATCCGTCTGTGTGGACACACTCAGGGATGCAAACACCCTTTATGCTCCTTACAGACCCATAACCCTCCTGCATGTGCACGTGCTCGTGCACGCACACGCCCTGCCACGTGTGCACATGCCTGCAGGCACCGTCACCCTCCTGCTCACGTCTGTCCTCGCACGCACACGCTGGCATGACCAATCCCATGGGATGGTGACCCACGGAGGGAAGTGTGGTACAAGACCCACCAAAGGCAGGGGGCTGGCAGCATTGCCCCGACTGCTTCACAGACAGTTCCAGGGATCCAAGGGCTCAACGGGGGGTGGTGGCTGGGGGTGAGGATGTGTTTTTGGGGGGTGAGGCTGCCTGGCATACAAGGCAGCAGCTCTTAACACTGTTCTCAACAGAATGCACCCTGCCCTCGCAGGGCTTGGCAACCAGCACAGAGGAGCCGGGGAGGGCTGGGAAGGAGTGGAAGAGGGCAGGTGGGTCCCAGGGAATGCCTTGGGGATTCCTGGTTTGGCCCCAGGACCCTCCCCAGCTTCTCCTGAAGTTTGGGATATGATGGATCAGGAGAGGCGGGGGTGAGTTCCCCATCAGCACAAAGCCACCAAGGTCTGAAATGCTGCCAGGGGAGGGGGAGGTCGCTAAGCCCTCTACCTGCCCAACCCCATGCAATGGATCCAGGTAGATCCACAGGATTGGGAGACACTGACTGGATCCAGCCTGCCAGACAAGCACTGCTCCTGCAAAGCTGCAACCTGCCTCCCCAGAAGCATTCCCAAGGGTCCTCCTCACCAGTGAAGCCAGGGCTGGGAGGGCTGCGACATTCCTGGGAATTATCAACAGGAATATTAGCAGCCAGGGTTTTGTAACTGTTCTTGCCAATCATTAAAGAACGGCGTCATTGCTATTAATGAGTCTGATTAAACCGGGTGTTGAAAGCCTTTATTAAATATTAGCTCAGCTTTTACCTGGGCCAAATTCCCACTGGAATTTTCGAAGATGGAGTGAAACTTCGGGCCAAACCTCAAAGCTCTGCCTCATTCCTGCTCATCCCAGTTGCACTTCCCAAATTCCCCTGAATTTTGCCCCAGCTCGAGGAGCAGCCCTTCTGGCTCAAACATTTCCTGACGAGTGTCACGCTGTTTTGGGGGGGGATGAACTGCCTCGGCCTTGCCCTGTGCTGCCTCTTCACCTCTCCTATCTCTCCAGCTCACCTCCTCCCCTCTGCCCTGCCACTCCTCCTCCTCACTGCCTGTTTGCCCCGGAGGAGCCAGGGGAAGCGAGCCAGCTGCCTTCTCACGCAAACCTGGGCAATCGTTAACCTGGGCCTGGCTCTGCTGCTGGCCCAGATGATCCTGCCACCACCAGTCCTAGGACATGGAGGCCCACCAGATGTTTCCCCAGGGATGGAGAGGGCTGTGGATGCAGATGCCTTGCCACAAATGCATCCCCTCACTCACAGCCTGAAGCTCCCAGCACCTCCAGAGTGGCCATGGAGGTGACAGCCTCTCTGGGTGCTGGGAACAGTCTGGTCAGCCCAGAGAAGGTTTTTGGGGAAATGCTGGAACCCACACCCCACAGGGAAGCGATGCTGAGAGCACATCCTCCATCTTCCCCAGGGTAGGGCTTAGGGACCCCTTCTTATTCCCTGTCCTAGAGCCCCCCTTCTGCCTTCCCATCCCAGACTCTAGTGCAGGGACATGCTCTGTGCAGGAGGAGAAGTCACCATTCATGCCCCCCAGGGCCTGTTGGAGGGGAGGAAGGCTCTTCCC